AAACCAAGGGGTGCGATATAAATGTAAATTGTATTGATTGGATTTCTGCCGAGTTCTCAGCAAACACGCCCGGGATTCCTCCTTACAAAACCTTCACAAATCTTGCAAATTTAATGCTACCGTAGCAATCGCAGACTTACGGTTCTTGTAGGGAAACAATTTCCTTCTTCAATTTTAATGAGCGAATACTAAACCTGTGGAACAGGCTCACTCGGGAGATGGTTGAAGCAGAAAGTGTTGATTCCTTCAAATCCGGATTAGATCATTTCCTTTTAGGAAATAACATTATGATATATTCAATGATTCTATGAAGTGGGCTGGTTTTTAGAATTGTGAGACATAGTACGACATTCAGCTCGTTTGTTTAGTTGTTAGTGTCGATAGCTTGTGCATCTATTATGAGCTGTTGGACACAAATCTCTAGCTGGTGAGTTTCATTTTCTTTTCGTTCATCCATAGAATCATAGAATTATACAGCACAGAAGGAGGCCATTCGGCCCATTGTGTCTGTGCCGGCTCTTTGAAAAGAGCTATCCAATTCAATCCCACTCCCCCCCTCTCTCCCCATAGCCCTGCAAACTTGTCCTCCCCAAATAATTATCCACATCTCTCTTAAAAGTTGTTATCGAATTGGCTTCCACCAGCCTTTCAGGCAATGCATTCCAGATCCCAACAACTCGCCGTGTGAAAACATTTCTCCTCACGTCCCCCTGTGTTTCTTTTAACAACTATTTCAAATTGGTGTCCTCGGTTTACCTGCCCACCCGCCAGTGGAAATAATTTCTCCTGGTTCACCCTGTCGTGTCCACAAGTTATTTTCAGTCTTCCCTAACCTGCTCTCACATCACATCAATTTCACTCTAATCTGTGTTGTGGGTGATTTTCCCTCCCTCGCATCCCCATGGGAGATGTTTCATTCCTTCTTAATGCCTCCCACACAGGAGATCTGTCTGTCTGAGATGGGAAAATAATAAAGGGATTGTTCTGTTTGCAACGTGCAGTGAATCTTTTGACGTTCGCTTTATAATGGGATTTCCTATTGTGGGTATTCAGTGAAAGATTCGCTGCACTTAATGAATGGAGAGGAACATCCCCTAAGTACGGGTAAACCTTTCAGTCGTGGAGCGACGCGTGGGTTGATATTCTAGGCCTGACGTTGCCAAGCCTGAATAGTTATTATTGCGTAACTGAAGGAAAACTTAGCCAACTATAGTTGGCAAAAGAACCAGAGAGGAGATGAGGAGAAATGTTTTTACTCACTTTGGAAAGACATAATAATAATAATAATAATCCTTGCATTTGATATAGCGCTTTTCACGTCGGGAGGACGTCCCAAAGCGCTTCACAGAACACACTGTAAAGTGAATTGACTGTATATTTGTGGGCGAACGCGGCAGCCAATTGCGCACAGCAATGTCCCACAAACAGTCGAAGATTGAAAATGACCAATTTATTATTGTTTTTGGTTTTTGAGGGATTATTATTAGGCTCTGTGTGGAGTAAGGAAACTTGCCCAAGGTTTCGCCCTCTGCCTGGAATTGAACTCAGGTCTCTCGCTTGCAAAGCGAGTGCTCTAACCACTGAGCTACAGGACTCCACATCTCAAAGCGCTTCATGGGATCTACTGTGAAATGGAGTAACTGTGTTTTTGTAGGCAAACTCAGCAGCAGAGTTGCCCACAACAGTGTCACACAAACAGCCAGGAAATGAATGACCAATTTTTCACTTGGGATATTGTTGGTCAGGACACCGCCAGAAACTCCCTTCGCTTTTCGAATAGTGCCTTTAACGTCCACCTGACCAGGCAGACAGGACCTCAGTTTAAGACCTCATCTGAAGGACGGCACCTCCAACAATACAACAAACCCCCAGCACTGCATTGGAGTGTCAGCTTAGACTAAATGAGTTCAAGTCCCGATGTGGGACTCAAACCCACAGCCTTCAGGCTCAGTGGCGAGAGCGTTACCACTGCGCCAGGCTGACACACTCAACAAAATTGGTCATTCACTTCCTAACTATTTTTGCGAAGCTCAGATTTGGCTGCTGCATTCGCCTATAAATACAGTTTCTACACTTTATTAAAAAAAACTCTGTGAAGTGCTTTGAAGCATTTCTACACGATCTACATTTAATACAAGGATTATTATTATTATTATTACACCTGTATTATTCTGTTAGAAAATACAGTGCATCAGTTGTATCTTGGCCTCAGCAAGTTCCGGCAAACGACACTCCCCATTTGCACGAAGTCAGTAACTGTTCTTTTGCTTTGTTCTACAGTCAAAGTAAGCTTACAAGTTTAGCCGTGTAACTGAGGAGTATTATTCCCCAGTGGAAGTGCTGGTAGTGTTGAAGTTAACCGAAAGGACAGGAGCACTGACTGTCTATGGGAGCTGCCACACACACCAGGATGCCAACTGTTGAAGGTTGAGATGATAAACCCTGTTTGGGTGGACATTAAAGATCCCGTGACATGATTTGAAAGCAGGGGTTTCTCCCGGTGTCCTGGTGAACAATCTCCCAAATAAAATTGTTCACGGCGGTTAGTGGATTAATGCTGTATGCAGTTTGGCTGCACCATTCACCTATAAAATACACAGTCGTTGTTGCACTCTACAGCAAATCCTGTGAAGCTCTATGAGACACCTTCCCTTCATGTTGTGCACAAAACACACAGTCAGTCCACCGTACAATCTATTCTGTGAATCACTTTGAGACGTCTCAACACCGTGACCAGGCGCAATATCAGATACAAAAATTATTATTTATTGTCATGAAAGGAGCTACATCGAACACAAGAATTATTATTGTTATTGGTCATCAATTTATTCAGAGCCCTGGACAAGCTGTCTGCATGTTCCTGCACACTAGCATTGCACATGGTGCCTGTGTGCACACAACTAAAGTGCTTGCTACAGGATGTATTGTAATCACCGGTTCAGCACCTGGAATTAAAATTGATTGGAAAGACAATAAAAATGAATGATTTTCCCTCCATTAACAATCAGGTCTGTGCATGTGTTGTAGATCTCAGCTATTCAGCCATTCGGAAGCTTGTTAACAATGCAGGCAGCACTTTGTCTTCATGAATTAATGAATGTATTTTTTAACAATTTTAAATTTAAATTTTGATAAAGGATTTCATCTTTATGTTTCAGTGGCTGTGACGTTTCGGTTAGATAGGAATGTATCTTTCAAAGCAAAGGCTCTCTATAAGTGTGCAGTTGATTAATGCTGCAAATGGCACTCGCCCTGTGACATTGGGGCAACATGCAATTTAGAAATATCTGCACGCATTCCTATTAAACTCCACAGATGTATCATGCATGTGGCAGGATGTTCTGGAGCAATGTCAGACAGGAATGAATTGGAACTTTTAGTTTGTAGTAATAATAATATATACATTTGATATAGCGCCATCTTTAACATCCGCCTGAAAAGGCAGGCCCGACCTTGGATTAGCGTCTCATCTGAAGAGCAGCACCTCCAACAATACAGCACTTCCCCAGCACTGCACTGGGAGCGTCACCTTATGCGATACGAGATCCAAGTCCCGATGTGGGGCTTGAACTCACATGCAAATGCAAAATCTACCTACATGTTTAGTACCTCAGATCCCCAATGTCAGTGAAAGTAGCCGTAATTCTAAATTTTGCAAAGACAAAGAAACATGTCTCTTGAAAACACTGCAATAACCCGAACAGTGAGCTTGAGGGGAGCTTTGGATCTGTTCCTCTATTTAAAAATATCCCTTCAGTCATCGAGCCATGTCCTATGACTCGAAAATATGCTGACATTCCGAGCTTTGGTTACCATGTTAGATGGGTTGTTACAAAGCAGACTACAGTAAACCGCAAGCAAGTAAGTCGTATCAGCCAATTAACATGACTTATTGCCAGGTATGAGTTATGTCAGACTTACACAGAATATAAATTCTTGATCGTGACTTGGGCAGATGTATGGGTGATTATACGATTTATACAGATCAGACTTAAGCGAGTTTCACTGTATGAACAGATTGGCTAACACTGCCATGACTCAGTTTTGCTCAGTTTGCTGACAGCGATTAGGGTGTGGGTTGGCCCTGGACAGTGACGGTTGGCATTTGACCAGCACTGAGCGGAGTTGTGCCCGGCAGCATGGCACCATTCCTGCTCTAACCCCCAGCAGCGATAGCAACAGCAACAACTTGCATTTATATAATAATAATACTATCATTTGATATTAGTGCCTTATCAGGTCATTGAAATGTCTCAAAGCGCTTCAGAGGATATAATGTAAACTGAATTGACTGTATATGTTGTGGGCAAAACCCGGCAGCCAATTGCGAAGTGAGAAATTTTTTTTTTTGGGGGGGAAAGATGATTATTACCCCCGGAAAGTGAAAAAACAGTAAAAACCACACAGACACACGATGACACAGCTATTCCTCCCCCACCACCCCTTGACACCTCGCCAAGCAGAGACACCCTCACGCGCAGTAGCGTCCCAGAGTGCTTGAAACTAACCACGTCACCATTTATTTCCCTCTGCCTCCACCCGCTCACTTCATTTGCCAGCGTCCAAAACAATATATACCCAACTGAGGATTTCTGACACAAACCGAAGGCTGTAGTCGCAATTGTCAGCGAGTCCCTTGCCCCAGATCACCGCAAGAGCTCTTGTGAACTTCTTTTTTTAAAAAAAAAGGAAGCTATTTCACAAGTAACAAACAGGAAAGGGGGTTTCCTGTGGATCTCTGTTCCTATTTCACTCTGCAAACACTTTAGTCAGAGCAGCACAGTTAGGCTTATAAGGCAATATTGCTTGTGTTTCTAAATGGCAGTTTTTTTTTCCGATGAAACTTACTTCGAACGAGTTAAAAGTCCCGAGCGTCTGTGGTTCCAAATGGTTCAAATGTGCAGCTAGCTCGGTAATGTTCTGACAGTCTTTCTTTCTTTCAGTCAGTGCCGAGTGATCCATACAAACACTGTAACCGCGGAAACTGTTCTCTCCCACAGATGACTCCGGTGACGAAGAGCCGACCTCGCAGTCGGAGAAGAGCGAGCTGCACAGCACCCTGAAAACCCTGGCCAACAAACTCGACGACCTGACCACGTGCAACGATCTCATTGCCAAGCACGGGGCAGCCCTCCAGAGATCCCTCAGCGAGCTCGAGAGCTTGAAGCTGCCGGCAGAGAGCGGAGAGAAGATTAAGGCAGTCAACGAGAGAGCCACCCTCTTCCGTATTACTTCCAATGCTATGATCAATGTAAGTGCAGACTGTTTTTTACTTTCTTATTTGGACAATATCACGTTAGTCTCTAGTCCACCTGGTGACTCCAGCTTGTCACACGTAGAACGTGCACTGCAGAATCAGGGAGGTCTTCTCAATACAACAACAACAACTTGCATTTCCACACTGCCCTTCAAGCGGGGCAGTGTTTCGGGCGCTTAACGGTGGTGGAGCCTGACGCAGAGCTAGCGGGGGAGGGAGGAGGTGACCCTAAGCACAGTCGGAGAGGAAGGTCTTTGGGGTTGAGGGAGAGAGTTACAAATCTTCAGGGCGTAGCGGCTAAAAGCATAGACCTCCTCATGGTGCACCAGTACATAGGCACAGCATTAACAGCAGCAAATGCAAGAGTAACGAGGTAAGGTTCAATCTGTACAAAAGGTTGGTTAACTGGAGAACTTCGTCGATTTCTAATAATAAAACAATAATAATCCTTGCATTTGATATAGCGCCTCATCACGTCTTCGAGACGTCTCAAAGTGCTTCACGGATTATACTGTAAAGTGAATTGACTGTATATTTTGTAGGCGAAATGTGGCAGCCAGTTGCGCACAGCAGCGTCCCACAAACAGTCATGGATTGAGTGACCAAATTATTATTTTGTACTTTTTTTNCTTGAGGGATTATGATCAGGCATGTAGAGTAAGGAAACTTGCCCAAGGTCTTGCTCTGTTGGGAATCGAACCTGGGTGTCTCACTTGTGAGGCGAGTGCTCTAACCACTGAGCTACAGGACTCCACAATTTCTGGCACCTCATTATTAAAAAGGACAGGGAGGGTGAACAGCAACTTGCATTTATATTCACATAGGATAGCATCTTGGAGTACTGCACAATGGCAGTGTCAAACGTCGAGAGGTGGGGTGTGGAGGGTGTTTTGTCAAAGCGTTAAAGATCTAATCAACAGCAGAAATTGACTCAGATGACACTAAGAGTGGGACATTATAGTTACTGTAGACAGAGTTTTGACTGTAACTGGAATAGGAAGATTAAGCAGGGAATCTAATAGACATTCCCAAAATTAGAAGGGCTTTGAGGTGTCGAGAAGACGTGAAAAGCGCTATATTAAATGCAGAGATTATTATTATTATTATTTATTTTTGTACAGAGTAAATAGGAAAGACTTATTTTTCCTGTTTTTGTCAGTCAGTTACAAGAGAGGTGTGAATTGAGAATTGTCACCAAGAGAAGAAAATAGAGAGGCATAATCTGGAGGGAGGCCGTGATCTGAAGCGATCAGTATTCTCTACATACACTTTCGCAGCTGAGATTTATTTTGGAAAGCAGTTCTCACACAGTAAAACCAAAATAGAACTCATTGGGAACTGGAGCTGTAAAGATCCCACTGCACTGGAGCATCAACACAGTCCCCGCAGGAAAAATAAACTGCAATGAATTTTTTATAGACCGAAATGGTTAGATTTGACTGTGATCCTGGGTTTCACCTATTTTTTTCCACGGAATTCATTTGAAATGATTTTGTTACGAAGCGTAAAAGAACATCAGAAATTTAGAAATATTAGAAATTTGGAGGAATAGATTTTCAGGCAGATACTTCAGTGTTAAATTGGTTCATCTTCATTTACGTTGTTCATAACAGCATGTAAATATGAGGCATAAATTTAAGATTTAAGAGTCGCAGATGTAAAGGAGAATTTAGGAGGAACTTCCTTACACAGAGGGTGGTGGGAATGTGGAAATCCTTGCAGAATGTTGTGGAAGCAAAAAGCACCAAAGTATATAAGAGGAACCCTGACGTAAACATGAGTTAGAAGAGGATAGAGGGGAGTAGGGAAAGGGATTAGGAAAGGTGGAAGTTTATGTGGACTATAAAGACTGGCACATGCTAATTGTTCTTGAATGGCCTGTTTCCTTGCTGTATCATTCTAGGTAGTTCTATATTGAATATTGTTGTAAAGAGAATTGCTACCACTTATGTCTTGGAAATAGTGTCCGTAAAACACCAAAACAATCGTGTTTTGTCCAGAACGTTCTCCAGCATATTTACTGTTTTATTGGGAGGACGATCAAAAAGGAAGATCTTCAAACGGGACTTGAAGGAGTTGATTTACTGCACGTTTCGATGCTGTAACTGCACTTCAAAGTAATTCCACTTGAGACATTTCATTTTGCTGAGTTGCTATATCAATCGCCCATTGCAGCGATTGGTAGCACTCTCACAGTCAGAAGGTTGTTTGTTCAAGCCTGACGTCAGGACTTGGAACCCATACAGCCTGTGCTGGTATTCTAATGCAATACTGGGTGGGGTGCTGCTTTGTCAGATGTGTTGTGGTAAGAAGTGAAACTGAGGTCCCTATCTGTCTGTCCCTGTGGCACTATTCGAAAAGAGGAGGGAGTTTCTCTCTCAGGGTGTCCTGGCCATGAATCCTCCAAATAAAGTAGATCACTCACTCCATAGCTGTTTGTGGGGCGTTGCTGTGCACAAGATTAAGATTGGCTGCTGCGTTCGCCCACAAAATACACTTTACAGTATATCCTGCAAAGTGCTTTTTTTGATGTGTTAGTGACATGATAAGGTGCTGTATCAAATATAAAGATGATTACTTGTATTATTTTTGTTTACTATTTCTACCAACATTTGCTTCTGCTTGTACTTCCTGGCATGTGGAGCAGGGGGATGTTCTGCCATTAAACCGAGTCAGTGGCAATCTGTTAAGTAGCACTGTGTAATGAAGGGCTGTTTTAACTTGAAAGTTGTTGTTTTGGGCGATAGATGTAAGAAACGTTTCTGTCTAGTGTCTCATAGAGGCCTAGAGACCCCATCCGGGGTGAAGGGCGCTATACAAATGCAAGTTGTTGTTGCCAATGGAATCCATGTGTATTAACAACAGCAACAAATTACATTTGTATAGCGCCTTTCACATCGGGAGGACGTCCCATTAATTGGTTAAAGGGTGTTTCAGGGGAAGGTGAGACCTGAGAATGGCATTCAGGGCCATTGATACCAGCGTTTGAGCCAGTGGCGTAGGGGAGAGAGGACTTTGTGATAACACTGATGATAATAATCCTATAATCCTTGCATTTGATATAGTGCCTCATCATGTCTTCGAGATGTCTCAAAGTGCTTCACAGAATATACTGTAAAATGAATTGACTACATTTTGTGGACAAAATCCAGTAGCCAATTGGGCACAGCAGTGTCCCACAAACAGTCGTGGATTAAGTAAATCACGTAGATTAAATTTTTTTTAGGGTACTATTACCACCGGAAAAGTGATCCACCAATTGACTAACAACCAGGTTCCTATTTACTGATAGTTAAATAGAGGTGTGTGGAGTAAGGAAACTTGCCCAACATTTTGCCCTGCCCAGGAATCGAACCCAGATCCTCTCGCTTGCGAGCCGTATGCTCTAACCACTGAGCTACAGGACCTCACTTCCCTCACTGTGTTTCATTATCAGATCCACATTGACAGTGTAGATAGAGGCAAATAAGTCAAACATGGGGATAATCTCTTGATCCCACTGACTTTTGCAGTCACGTCACGTTCTCTGTGTACATAATAGCTGGAGAAGAATCCTCACTCATGAAACTCAGTAAGGCTGAGTGAGCATTCAGCAATTTAATGGAACCCATGGTTTTGGTCGTAGGAGGATAGCTCTAAGGTAGCTCTAAAAGGAACCAAACCTTTCAGCAAAGAAAGGAAGGCAAAAGAACCAATTATCTCTCCATCTCTGCATCCAGACTGGGGCTGCATTGTCCTGCAAAACACCGAGAATGAAATAATTCCTTCCTCACTGAAGGCAGTAGTTTTGGTCATTCACTCGATGGCAGTTTGTGGGACATGGCTGTGTGCAAACTGGCTGCCGTGACTGCCTTATTACACAGCCACTGCACTTTACAGTTTATCCAGTGAAGCGATTTGAGACATCCTCCCGACCTATCAAATGTGAGGACTATTAATATTATACGATTATTATTAGTTGGGAATATTTGACCCTTCCCAAAATGTCACACATGGAGTCATTCCTACATGACCCAGAGGCAGGCTTTAGCTGGAACCAGGTGGTTCCTTGCTCTACACTACAGTATCGTCAGGGGGAAATGGTGGCTGGGTGGGTGGTTGGGTGGGTGCGATATCACCCTTTGGTCATGTCGTCTATCGTCAGCCAAACAAGCCACTTGGCCCCAGAGTCTAGTGAAAAAAATGCTTTGAGAAAAATACATTCGACATTATACGGAGTGATTAAGTGTGTAAACTGTAGCCACTGATAGACCAGCCATTGCCTGTCAGTAATATTCCATTAATACAAGAGCAGTTTATCCTCTGAATATTAATGAGAGACGAGGGATTCGTCTAACAGCTGTCAGCTGTTTTTAGCCGTGACGCCTAATATTCGGGTGACACAGCCCTGGAGCACTGTGTGCAGCGAACAAAAGATGCGGAAGGCGTTTATTTAAAATAAAGATTTGTGTTTGGATTTCTTAAGGCAACAGAGGTGAACGGTTACTAATGTTTTGCTCGCCTCGTTAATGCTGTGAGACAGTTGCTCACTGGCCTTCTGCGAGTTGCCGTTTTCGTGTGGGGGGGGTGGGGGCGTTTAAATGGGAATGAGAATTCACCCCGCACATTTGGCTGTGGGGCCCACTCGTGATATCAGTGCAGAGGGAGTGTTCTGTAGGGAGTGTCTCCTCGAGGAGAGTGAATGGAGCACAAAACACAGAGACAAAATAAACCAAACGGTTTACAGCAGTACCTCCATCGGTGCTGCTTTATAACCCGTTGCATTTTGTTTCATTTTCATTTATTTTATAGCAAAGAAAGAAACTATGAACGCTGGAAATTCAACAAAAACTTGCATTTATATAGCATCCTTCGTTCACCCGGGTTAGTGTCCCGGAGAGCTTGACAGTGACGGAGTCTGACACCGAGCCAGGGTGAGAGGGTGACCGTAAGCACGATCAAAAAAGGAAGGTCTTTAGGCACGATTTGAAGATGGGGAGTGAGGGGGAAAGGCA